TACTTATTTCCAAAAGAGGGAGGAACATAAAATGACCTATAAGAGTGGAGGAAGGAGTACGCAGGTCGACTACATTCTGTGTAGAAGAGGAAACCTGAGGGAGATTGGAGAGTGTAAGGTTGTGGCAGGGGAGAGCGTGGCCAGACAGCATCGGATGGTTGTGTGTAGAATGACTGTTGTTGTGAAGACGAGAAAAAGAGTAAAATCAGAAAAGAAGACCAAATGGTGGAAGATGAAGAAGGAAGAATGTTGTGAGAAATTCAGAGAGGAGCTGTTAAAGGCTCTGGGTGGTAAGAAAGAGCTTCCAGATGACTGGACTACTACAGCAACAGTAATTAGAGAGACAGGTAGGAAGGTACTTGGTGTGTCATCTGGACAGAGAATGGATGATCAGGAAACCTGGTGGTGGAATAGTGAAGTGCAGGAAGATGTTCAAAGAAAGAGGTTAGCCAAGAAGAAATATGACAGAGAGAGGACTGAAGAGAGGAGACAGGAATATAAGGAGATGGGACGTAGAGCAAAGAGAGAAGTAGCTAAGGCAAAGCAGAAGGTGTATGATGAGTTGTATGTGAGGCTGGACACTAAAGAGGGAGAGAAGGACTTGTACTGATTGGTGAGACAGAGGGATCAGGCTGGAAAGGATTTGCAGCTGGTTAGGCTTGTTAAAGATAGGAATGGTAATGTTCTAACAAGTGAGGAGAGTGTGACGGGAAGATGGAAGGAGTACTTTGAGGAGCTAATGAATGAAGAGAATGAAAGAGAAAAAAAGAGTAGATGTCATAGAAACTGTGGACCAGGAAGTGGTAAAGATTAGTGAGGGTGAAGTCCGGAAAGCTCTGAAAAGAATGAAGAAGGGAAAGGCAGTAGGACCTGATGACCAGTGGAGGTTTGGAAATGTCTTGGAGAGATGGCAGTGAGGTTTTTGACTCAAATATTCAATGGTATATATGAGGGTGAGAAAATGCCTCAGGAATGGAGAAGAAGTGTGCTGGTGGCCATTTTTAAGAACAAGGGTGATGTACAGAGTTGTAGCAACTACAGGGGAATTAAGTTGATGAGTCACATGATGAAGATCTGGGAGAGAGTTGTGGAAGCAAGACTTAGACGAGAGGTGCCAGGAAAAAGACAAAGAGGAGATATATGGATGCAGTCAGAGAGGACATGGAGGTAGTTGGAGCGAGGACAGAGTGAAGGCTCCAGTATACTCGCACGGTCCTTTTACCCAGTGGACTCGACGCGCACTGTCCGCAGAGGGTTGAGACCCCAAAGCTGAGTGAAATACTCGAGCGTCCACCCTGAGCGGCTGCAGGCCAGCTCTGCAGGCACGGGGTGTTCACCTTCTGGACAAATTGAGGTCGCCGATTGGTCATTTGCCGACACGCCTACTGGATTGACAGGTCGCAATAAAAAATAACAAAAAAATGAGAGCTGGCAGCCCAGGAGCAGTGGTGTTCTGTGTTAATAAAAAGTTACAAAAAAAAAAAAAACAGGGAGCGCTGGCCCTGCAGCCCACACATCAGACCAGCCCACCAGGAAATCTCCCTCCTGCAGCCACGCTGGACCCGAGTTTAATTCTCTCATGACAAATTCCTTCATTTCTCACCATTTCAGTCATGGCATCAATGGAGGAGGAAGAGATCGCTTGCCTCTTGGCAAAAAAACAAAAGAAAACTAAAGAAAAGGCCATTAAACCAGATCAGGGATCAAGAAGGGGAATTTATTACATTGGTGTCACATACAAAACAGTCCTTTGCCGGACAGTTTATTGTGTGACACCGAGTATGCATAGGTAAAAATTGAGCTTTGCACGAACACGCCCTGCGGGCGTCCGCTTCGACTCTAATCCGGTACGTGTGGACCTCCGTGGACTGATGTACGCCCAACTGTACTGGAGGCTTGAGATGGAGGAGGATGACTTGCTGTGGCGACCCCTGAAGAGAGAAAAGCTGAAAGAAGAAGAAAAATAATCTTTCCATCTGTAGAACAATGGACTCCAGATGACCTTTGGCCCGTCACAGCTTGATCAGCAGCAATGGTTCTTTCAGTTTATCAAACTCATCAGCAAGTTGTTTGGCTAACTCCAAATGCTAAAAACAGCTTCAAGTCCTCAACTTCTAAAGGTTGTTTCATCTCCAAGAACTGGCTCTGACCCAAATCATTGACACCCCAACTAGACATAACAAGCGTTGTCCTGAAAAATCGTCCATTTTAGACTTTTTTTTTTTTTTTACAAATATGCCCCATAAATTCCCTGGTTTGGGTGTTTTTGCTGATGATATGAGCAGTAAGGAAAGTAAAGAAACTGAAAGTTAAACTGGGTTTCTTTTTCAGGAACAGATCCTGTCTAACTCTGAACCCTGAGGAACACCTTGCATCTGTGACTTTCATTCCCTCCATTGATTACGGTGACATTATTTACATGAACGCTCCTACAAGAACCTGCAGATGTTGGATGCTGCAGATGTTGGATGCTGCAGATGTTGGATGCTGTCTATCATGGTGCACTAAGATTCATAACTGGCTGTGATTATCGTACCCACCACTGCACCCAGTATTCACTGGTTAACTGGTCACCATTAACTTCACACAGACTCCCACTGGTACATTTTCATCTTTAAATCACTTCCTGGTCTGCTGCCTTCATACATCTCCTCCTACATGTCTCTGTGTGAGTGCAGCTACAGCGTGTGCTCTCAGGACATCATTACCTGCAGTGTTCCCTCAGTGAGGACTGAACTAGGCAAAAGGACCTTCTCCTACTCCGCTCCTGTTTCCTGGAATATCTTGTAAAAACATCTGAAGCTCTCGACCTTTGACCTCTCTAAGCGGCTTCAAACATCTGTTCAGTTACTGCCGACATGTTCCTGTTTTGAGTTTCCTTCATCGTCTTATAATCTAGCTGGGTTATTTTTTTGTTTAAATTTTAATGCCATTTTCTTTCACTCGTTCTTCTCAACTTGTATGCTTCCTTTTATAACTGTCCACTGTTGTCATCACTCTTTGTTAAATCAGGTCTCTCCTGTAAATGAGTCCTCGAGGCTCAATGGGATTAACCTGTAGAAATAAAGGTTGAATAAATGGCTCATGAGGATTTAGGCCAATTAAAGTCATTTTGGCACTATTTTACCGTTTATTCCTTAAGAATATTAAAAAAATCCAAACCTCTCCATCATAGACATCAGTCGTGAGTTTTGTGGGATTTTTTTTAATCTGTTTTTTTAAATTCCATGAGGCTACATGTAAAACTTCAGACGTTGAGACAAGTTCATCCCATTGAGCCGAGGACTCATTTACAAGAGAGACCTGATATTTTTCATTCAACCTTTATTTAGACAGGTAAATCATATTAGCAAATAATGATGACAACAGCAACAACAATAGACAGTATAAAAAACAGACAGACATAAAAAAGCATACAGATTTTTTAATACAAATAAAATGGCAAAAAAGTAACAAAAACAGCTAGATTATAAGGCGATGAAGTTGTTGAATAATTGTTCTTATCTGTGTGAAAGGTTTCTGCAAGATGTCCTGTGTTACACAAGTTTTATAAACGAAGCCTGCGGCCGTTAAATCAGATTATAGATCAGTTCAGATGGACTACGGGTCGTAGTCCATCGTGGCACTGTCAATCAGACGTGCGTCTGCAGCTGTGTCATACTGCATCATACGTGTGTCTGCATCATACATCACAGTTTCTTTCAGTTATATCAGGTGTACCCCAAGGCTCCATTCTTGGTCCAACTCTTTTCTCCATATTTACCAGTATAAATTATATCTTAGTGAGGCCTCCATTCATATATATGTCAATGACACTATTTTATATGCTTTTGGTTCTACTCCGGATGCGTTTGTGAAGTCCCTGGCATGTGGTTTTCTTGAAATCCAGTAGGCCTTTTAGGAGTTAAGTCCTTAAATGCCAAGGAAACTAAATTTATATGGTTCCGTCATGGAGGAGGAACCATATGCACCTTGGTGGACTTCACCACTGTAAACTGTGATATTATAGAAGAGCTAACAGTTTATAAAACAGGTCTCACTTGTAAATGAGTATTCGAGGCTCACTGTGATTTATCTGTATAAATAAAGGTTGATTTAAAAAAAAATCTGTGAATTTTTATTGATGGAGCTCAGTCCTTTCACATCATGTTGATGTTTTACGATCTAAAGTTAAAGCCAGACTTGGTTATCTATATAGAAATTGATCTTCATTTACTTTGACTGCAAAATGCACCATTGTTGAATAAACCCATTCTACCTGTGTTGGATTATGGAGACATAATTTACAAACGGGTGTCCATCGTAAGCTGGACTCAGTTTATCTCTCTGCTATTGTCTGTTACAAAAGCACTTTATAGATCATCATGGTCTCCTCTCCTCTTGTTAAAGGTCTTCTCTATGTACTCGTGGTGAAATTTATTGGTGTACCCTCATTCATAAGACGTTGCTGGTTATTTACCTCCACATGTAACTCATCTCCTGCAACTAGCACCTGTTTGGAAGTAGGACGGCCGACCCGCTCAGTATTTGTGGTCAACATCTGTAAAGACCAGGTCTGGTTCTGCTGCTCCGGCTGACTGGAACCTGCTTCAGAAACTTTGGGCCTGACCTCACTCTTGTCACAGTTTTGCTGCTTCTCTTGACCCTACAAGAACCTGTTGGTGCTGCCAACAGGTTCTTGTAGGGTCAGGTTATTGACAGCTTGTTATCTGTCAACAACAAGCTGTTCTTGTGTTCACGTCTGCTTAAATAAAGGTGGGATGAAAAATGAAATGCAGCTGCCAGTCTGAGGTTTCTGTCTGAAGTGAAGAATCTTTTTTGGGTTAAGGAACCCCGACTTGAAGCCTTAGTGTTGGACTCGTGCGACGTGGAGACAAAACAACGCGCAGGGCAGTAAAAGATGACTCCTCGGTGAACTTCGAACACGGGTCAGAGGTCCTGCTGATAATCGTTGGATAAAAACTGATCGATGGCTCCAGCGAGCCTCACAGACGTCACGGATCAAATCAGACATCTGAGGTGAGGCGGCTTTTAAAGCCCGCAGGAGGATTCCAGTCTTTTGAGCTGTGGGATTATTCACAGATAAAATAGTGGATTAACGGTGAGGAAAACTGAAGCACAGCAATAAAGCAAGCTTTTCTGTTTGATCCATTTCAGGTACTCGTGGTCATCATGAGGGCTTTTGCAGTCATCCTCGCTCTGGCTGTTTTCTCCGGTGAGTTCACGTCTCTTTAACGTTTTAGTTGTAAAGTAGGAGCAGGAAGAGGTTCATGAGAACACCATCATGTTGGAGCTGGAGCCCAGAGTTTGGTGCAAGGAGGAAACAATTCTCAACACGAAGCTGGTGAAACCTGGGCTTCCTGCTTCACGCTGGTTTTATAGACCACCTCCAAACTTCTAAACCAGCCTGTGGACAAAACATTAATGACTGCGTTCTGAAATGAAGTAAAACGTGGTTCTTTACCATGAAAACGGCCGACACGAATTTAAAAATTACAAAAGTTTGAATGTCGACTTCTGTCTTTACGACGCTCCGAAGCCCAGATTGTCCCTGACGTTACTCGTTCTCTCTTTTATTTGGTTCAGCAGCAGATTCAAGGTTCTACCCCCCACCCCCACCCCCACCCCCTCCCCATGTGTGGCTGCATGTAGGTGTAAAATGTTCATCAAAAATTGGGTCATCAAAAAATGACCTCCTCATTTGAGGAAACTGCTTTCTACTTTTTTATTGTTTAAAAGTCGTTTCCCAAATGACTGGGGTGGTGGGCACAACAAAAGATTAATGTAAAGGGGAGAAGGCCACCATTGGCCACCCTCTGGCTCCTCCACTGCTCCTGGTGGTGGATAGAACGTCCCTCCTCCACTTGAATGTCTTGCATCACAAACATTTAGGTTCACTTCATCCCTCGTTGAGTTTTGGTGCAGAAAAACACTCGTCTGAAAAACAACATTCACTTTTCAAACCTCAGCAACGAGAACGTCGCCGCTCGTTTCCTGAGGTCGTTTCCTGAGCTCGTACTCGTCTGATGCCACCACGTTTGTTTACCGACACGTGCAGCTTTAAGCTAACCTAGCCGAGTGTTTTGTTTACATTGAAAGCAGACCCGCGTTTCAGAACCGCACACAGCACATCTGGTAAACTACAGCAGTACACATCTGGTAAACTACAGCTGTACACATCTGGTAAACTACAGCTGTACACATCTGGTAAACTACAGCAGTACACATCTGGTAAACTACAGCAGTACACATCTGGTAAACTACAGC